ATGATCTACAACATATGTAGATTATCTATCAACCTATAAAAGGCATCATGATCAGCGTTTGTAATGTTCTTTGTGTTCGGAAAATTTCATAACATTACACATGATTTTTAGAAAGTTATGGGGGGTCAGTTACTTATGAAATTGACTGTATCTACTGATATATTGATAATGGTATAGCAATTTTTGTAGAAGATCGAATTACACTAATGGAAGTATCCCTTTACAAACCACGGATCTGCAAAGAGATTGAAGTCAGAAGCGCTGTCTTTCCATTTGCTTTATCCTCCATAGGAGAATACATGCGTATTTTTGAGCTCATAGCATATTATGTGGTATGTTATTCTGTCCAATCATATCAAAATAAGTCATTAATTTTTGTACATATCTAGGACGGACTTCTCAAGCACCAGGAGGTCATACGAGAGTTGTCTAAAGAAAGTAATGGGGTAAAGGAGGTAACTTCAGAAATATTTTCGGATTGGTGGAGTAAGACTTTATAATAATCTGCTATTTACCAACGACCGAAATGGTTGCGTAATAGTAGCCCATTTTTTTTGTATTTTCAGAGTTGTGTTTTTATCTGATTTTATTAGCATTGTGTATATATACATGAGTAAGAAAAGAAATAGAATAATACACGATACTGACGAGCTTCACTAGTTACAAACCGATTTAAATTTGAAATAGAATTGGCAGTAAACGATTTAATTCGTTGTAAATATGACATTTGTTGAATATTATTATCATTAAGATGAAAAAAAAGATCATAAACCTTCCGCTTTTTTTCGAAGTGTACTTTTTTTTAGGAGCTGATCCTTAATATCATTATAAACCTTCTAGGCCTTACAATCCTTATACGTTTTTCTATAGTGGGCAAAAAGCTTTTCTAACTCCTTTCCAAAGTTATTATCAGTTCATGATGTGTTTCTGCCTTTGAAATTTTTACATATAAATCAAGAAAAAATTCGGGAACCCTCAACTTCTCGTATAGATTCTTTATGAAGACCTTTTTTCTCCCTAATTTCAGAAATTCGAGTAGTATCAGACGTTAATTCCCGGATAAGCCTTTTTAATACGATTGAATCCTCATCCTTAATCACTTTCTTAACTTTTTTTACTGGAGGAATTTTCGGTTGATTCATCCGTAGCTTCATTAGTCCGCTTTTTACCTGTCGAATCGGATTGAATTTCAACTTGAGATTCCTTTTCCTTCTCTTCTTCTCCGTCCTCATCTCTATCACCCATATCCACGTCTTGATCCTGGGACGAAGTTTTTTGAGAACTAAATCCAACATTATGGGTAAATTCATCAGCCAGATTCGAAATATCACTTATTTCAGAAGATACAGAGTCTCGTCGTTAGGCTTCATCAATAAGCTCGACATTTTTTCCACACTTAGGGAAGGGACATGTATTTGGTATGATAAGCAGAATTTTTTTCTCAATACATATTCTGTGAAATATGTATCCACAACTACCGAGAACAATAAACGACTCATATGTAAGTGTTAAAATTTTCTTGTTACATATTGAACATGGTGGCAGTTCCGTATCATTAATATTTTGATCAATACTTCCACCCGTTTCCTTTAGAATGTTATATGCGAGGGTTTTAAGACTGGAGAGAGACATAATGATTAAGAATGTAATCGAGTAACGAGATTCATATTTGATTTTATACCCACTTTGGTCAATATCTTAGACCCTATCCATTAACGGAATCGATATTCCTGGACGATGGTCTTGAATGGATCTTGGTGATGATCTCAAATGAAAAAATGTTTATTATTGCACACAAAATTAATTATCGAAAAAAAAAGACCGTTTAGGTCTAACTGTTTTATTGATACAGTACAAAATACATGAGGGCGGTTAAACTATCTATTGTAAAACAAGCCGTTAGGCGATTCTCCGAATCATGGCTCTTTGAGCCTACCCACTATTTTTTGGTAATTTTTTTGATTCTGGCCCTCTTACTGGCTGGGGAATTATCGACCGTTACCCGATCTTTTAATAGGCCAACGATAACACCTAACACTCGTTTTACCCCTTTTCTGATTAATTCGATATCTTCTTTCAATGCTGTTTTCGAAAGATTTATCTGATATTCGCTTTCACTGGTACAGTAAGTCCATCCGTAGTAAAAACGAGAAAATGCCAATCCATACCTTCATAATGCAGAAACAGGAAATGGTTATAAAAAAATTTGATGATGAGGAAGCGGAACCCATAACTAGAAAAATTCTCTATATACCGGTAGATACGATCCCATAGATATAATCATAATCATCGTTTCCAAAAGCTTGGTCCGCGGTTCGTTTTTTCTTATTCGTATGGTATGCACTCTCTAGTTGCATAATATTCTGAAGATAGCCAATCTTAATATTGCGTGGCTTGCCTTCTGCGATACACATGAGATCCTCCTTTCCCTTAATCGCATAATCAACACGACCAGACGCTTCCTCACCAGATACATCTTTTTGCAGTGATATATAAAGTTTTTCTTCTTTGGTGACTCTTCGAACGATGGCAAGTGACGCATGTAGGATCGACGAAATAAATTCACAGCGGGTGGCCTCATTGGCATCAGTCATCGTTTCGATATTCGTTAATATTAGTGTTATGTCTGCCATACAGTGCCTGAATGCTTCGTCGTCATCATCGATCTTTACGGAATCTATAAACAGAAAAAACGAGTTATTATTTATCTGGAAATTTTTCTGATCATGACATTTTTGCCAAGAAATTTCGGCCGAGACCCTGTCAAAAAATGCCAAGAAAAAATAAAATAAAGTACCACATACCTGGATTAAACTGCTTGATGTTCGTTATATCCTCACCATTAACTTTATATTTGCGGAGTACGTCCTTCAGTTCTTCCGAAGTTTTATACGACGAGAAACTTCGTAGTCTCTGTCCTAGACTCTCGATAAATTTTGCGAGTCTTGTTGCTGGACCCCCTTTCATGCCATAGCTACGAAATTCATCTTTGGTTAACTCTATAAAATCGAGACCGGAAATTCTCTCATTGCGAAATATTTTGAAATCCGCCTCAACAAGATCTAAATCTTCCTGCCTCTGTAGATAGTCGATAAGCTCTTCCGTCTTGTATTTTTTAACCACGTCCGACATCGTGCGAGTTGACCTTTCTTCCGTCAAAGTAGAGGATGTAGAAGCCGGTAAGGAAGGTGAAGAAGCGCGTGAAGACATGATGTTGCTTTTATACGTGGAAATTCGTAAAATCTGGTTTATGTATCCCGCTAAGTAAAGCTAGGTTATGCGATGCAAGTGAAGAATGAAAATTTTTATCGCATCTATTTTTGGGTGATCGGTGGTTTATATACTCACGATGGAAGTTACACGAACTGATTAGGAGATAATGTACTACTTAAATCACGCCTAACGCGTCGTTACTTTATTATTACGAAACGAAAAATATTGCCGGTAATAGCGGAGCTAGTGTCAGTGGCAAAGCCACGAGTCTCCGACTCAAGACACATAAGGCAGATACAAAAAATAAAAATGCGAAATACATATCGCTAATACATGGTGTGAGATACAAAAAATCTAGGCTGGCGAATG